GCACAGCTCCCGCCGCCTGTCTTCCCCTTTGTGTCTCCCTCTCCGCCGTCACAGTCGCTGCCGCCGCAGAAGCCGCCGCCGCCGCCGCACCAGCCGTCCCCCTCGCAGCAGCCGTTCGTGGCCTCTGGGGGTGCTGGCGTTGAGGAGGGTGCTAGTCCTGGGGTTCCTGTCGTGGCTTGTCCCGACGAGCTCAGGGGTGGCACCGGTGCTGGAGAGGGTTCTCGCTCTTTGGGGTGCTCGTTCTGGGGTGGATTTTTCCAGAGGTAGTCCTGTTGCAGCTGGCGGTCCCGGTGTCGGGGTCGAGCAGCAGCAGCAGCAGTCGCCGCCGCTGTCCGCCCATCGCCTGCTCGGCCTTCCCTCCCCTGACCGCTCGCCTGTGCTTCCCCTGCCGCCTCCTCCCCTACCTGTTCACGGCCCTGTTTTTCCTCCGCCGGACTCGTCCCCGGCTCGTTTCCCACCTCGTTCCCCTCCTGTTACACCTCATTTGTCTCCTAACTCGACGCCTCCTTCTCATGTCTCGTCTCGCCGTCCCTCTCGTGCTCCTCCTGTCTCTCCTGTCCAGCGCTCTCACCCTATGTTGCTTCATTCCCACGCGTCTCGTCCTCCCCTCCTGCCTTTGCCTCCTCCGTTGTCGCTTGCTGTCGCGCCCCCCCTCTGTCTGACTACCTTCGTGCTGCTCGTCCTCTTGTTCCTCGGGTCCTTGCCTCCCTTGTTACCGACCCGTCTGTTCCTGTCTCCTGTCTTGATGCTCTTGCCGCGGCTGCCGCTTACTTTCTTCTCTACCGCCGCCTTGACTACGCCACCACTCTGGTCTCTGACTGTTTCTGTCCTCCGTCCGTCGGGGGTGCTCCTGCCCTTGGTAGTGACGTCCTAGAGGACAGGCAGTACGAGCTTGCTTTCCTGTCCGAGGCTGCTCCCCATCTCTGCTCCATGTTGCTAGTCCCTGAGGGTGACCCAGATGCCTTCAACATCCTGACTTCTCGCAGTTACGCTGAGGTGACCTCGAGACCCTAGGCCTCTCAGTGGATAGCTGCCATGGAGCAGGAGATGGCATCTTGGAGATCCACTGGCACCTACGTTGACGCAGTTCCCCCACCTCGGGTGAACGTAGTCGATGGTCGGTGGCTCTTCAAGGTAAAGCGCCCCCCTGGAGAACCGCCTATGTTCAAGGCGCGCTACGTGGCTCGAGGCTTCAGTCTGCGCGAGGGGGTGGACTTCTTTCAGACCTTTGCCCCGACCCCGAAGGTGACTAATCTTCGGGCACTGCTACACGTAGCAGCACAATGTAACTTCAAGCTTCACTCCCTTAACTTCTCCACTGTTTCTTTAAGGGCAGCCTACACGAGCAGGTCTACATGCGCCGTCCTCAGGGCTTTACCAGTACCTTCCCTCCTGGGACCCAGTGGCTCCTTCGGCGCCCGGTCTACGGCCTGCGACAGGTGCCCCGTGAGTGGCACGACATGCTGCGTGCTACACTAGCTGACTTGTAGTTCCTTCCGTCCTCTACAGACCCCTCGTTCTTCGTTCGTGCTGGCCAGACTCCGTTCTACATCCTTGTTACGTAGACGACCTGGTCTTCGCTACTGCAGACAGAGACGCGCTGGCCTACGTGAAGGCCGAGCTGCTGAGGAGACACACCTGCACTGACCTAGGAGAGCTGCGCCGCTACCTTGGCCTGCATATCTCCAGGGACAGAGCAGCGCGCACCATCACTCCTACATAGTCACACTTGGTGCGTCAGGTCCTTTAGAGGTTCGGTCTTCAGTTCTCCTCCGCGCAGCCCCCACCTCTGCTAGTAGACCACAGGCTCTCAGCTCCAGTTCTTGAGGAGTCAGCAGAGCCCATTCGTCCTTACGCAAAGCTGGTGGGTTGCCTCATGTACCTGATGACTTGCACTCGTCCAGATCTCGCATAACCTCTCAGCATCCTGGTTCTCTTTGTGGCCACAGGCATAGACCGACCCCAGCAGTGGTCGACCACTAAGAGGGTTTTGCGTTTTCTTGCGAGTACATCGGGCATGGGGCTAGTGCTGGGAGGACGCAGTCTAGTGGTCCTTACTGGGCACACAGACGCTTCTTGGGCAGACGACGCTGAGACCCTCAGGTCCTCCCAGGGCTACTGTTTTAGCCTTGGTTCAGGTGCCATCTCGTGGACGTCCACTCGCTCCTCGTCTGTTGCCCAGTCTAGCTTTGAGGCTGAGATCTACGCCGGTGCCATGGCGGCACAGGAGTTCCGCTGGCTGACGCTCTTGTTCGCCGACTTAGGTGAGCGGATTATTATAGGAGTATGTTCTTAAAGGGTACAACCCCAACACTATATCTCCCTTGTTCTCCCTTGTTTAAACCATTCTAGTATTCTAACAGGCAACGTCTCACATGAGGGATAACAGCCTGTCCTGCTGCAGGACTTGGGGGGTGCACGGGCTTGGGACTTGAGGGCGTTGGGTGTTGGGTGGGCTTTAGACTACCAAGCCTAGGGGGTGTGTTAAATTTTATAGGTTATATATAATTGTAGGCTTGGTAAATGTTATTAAACCCTACTGTAGAGGGGACAACCCCCTCCTTGTATCCCTCTCTCTTCTAATTTGGACCTCTTTTCTCTCGTAACTTTTGGTCTCTTCCTAAACCCTCTCCCCTACTTTCATGGTTGTCTAGCTTTGATACGATGACCTTCATCGAGGAACCTGTGGAATCAGCCATGGCGACGGAGTTAATGGCCGTAGTGTTGCGGAGCGAAGGATGAACTAAAGGGCTGTGGGAACGAAGGACTGGCAGGACCGCTCAGATGTGTGTCTCTCATAAATAATCGCCTTGCGATGTCCATTCTGTGAAATTTGAACTCCTACCAAAGGCTTATTGGTCGCATTTCAAATCGACTGTGGGATTCGAGAAGAGCAGTCAGCTCGTCTACAACGACCCATCCGTCTGCTCACATGAAGAGAATTTCATGAGCGTAGTTCCCACGCAAACGACAATACGCCAATTGCTTGTGGATGTTGTGGTGTCGCAATTCTCCGTACTTCTTGACCCATGCCTACGCCTTGCTTTCACGTCCTGATTCATGCTTTCATTCCTGAATTCGCGCTTCACACTTTCATTCCTGAATTCACGCTTCACGCCGAACTCGGAATTGGAGCATGAAGCAAGATGAGCAATAGAACATGATGTGGACTTAAAGCGAGAGGTTATAATAGTGACCCATCTTTCTAGTTGGGCCCAACTTGATTGGGACCCTCGAACATATATAGGGGGGACAAACGAGCGGGCAGAAGAAAACGTCGTTTCGGGGCGGGCAGTCATTCAGCAGCAAAAGCACCTGCCCGCGCGACAAATTCGGAAATGTGGGCAGGGTTCTGTTTATACGCATAATACTAGCTAGCGCGCCTCGTTGAGGCTCGTTTGTTACCGTATTTTGTCGACATCGATTGGTTGCGGTTCAGTCAAACTCAGAAGGGTGGACACGCAATGAGAAAAGTGTGGTTGGCGGGTGGTCGAAGTAAACGCGCCTTGATATGGTAGCTATAGGTGGGGAAATTTCGACCAATCAGAAAACCAGTTGTGTTCTTCCATGAGTAGTGAACCCGGTGTCAACTTATACATATTATCTATGTAGAAGTTATAGGCTAGACTGAGGTATGCTTCTAGTGAGTACAACCAACTAGTATTTGTTCTAGGTTTCCACCTCTAGTAATCATTCGTTTCTACGTTAACATGGTATCACGCTTAGGTTAGGATCCCCCCGCCTACCGCTTCCGCCCGTCGCGCCTCCTAGGCCCCGTCGCGCCCCCTAGGCCCCGTCGCGCCCCCCCTGGGCCCCGTCGCGCTCGTTAGGCCCCGTCGCGCCCCCCCTGGGCCCCGTCGTGCCCGCTGGGCCCCGTCGCGCCTCCTAGGCTCCGTCGCGCTCCCCCTGGGCCCCGTCGCGCCCGCTGGGTCCCGTCGCGACCCCTAGGCCCTCACGCGCCCCCGTTGGGCCCCGTTGCGCCTCCTAGGCCCCGTCGCGCCCCCCATGGGCCCCGTCGAGCCCGCTGAGCCCCGTCGTGCCTCCTAGGCATCGTCGCGCCTCCTAAGCCCCGTCGCGTCCCCCCCCTCTGGGCCCCGTCGCGCCCGTTCGGCCCCGTCGCGCCCCTCCTAGGCCCCGTCGCGCCCGCTGGGCCCCTTCGCGCTTCCTAGGCCCCGTCGCGCCTGCTAGGCCCCGTCGCGCCCCCCCTGGGCCCCGTCGCGCCCGTTAGGCCCCGTCGCGGCCCCCCTGGGCCCCGTCGTGCCCGCTGGTCCCCGTCGCGCCTCCTCGGCCCCGTCGCGCCCCCCCTGGGCCCCGTCGTGCCCGCTGGGCCCCGTCGCGCCCCTTAGGCCCCGTCGCGCCCGCTGGCCCCTGTCGCGCCTGCTGTTAGCGCTCGCCCGCCTGGCCTCCTCCTAGTGCCGCTCGGCCTCCTCCTAGTGCCGCCCGGCCTCCTCCTAGTGCCGCCCGGCCCCTTCCTAGCGCCGCCCGGCCTCTCCTCAGCGCTGCCCGGCCCCTCCTCGTGCCCGACCGGCCCCAGCAGCACCAGCCTGGCCCCTCCCAGCACCAGCCCGGCCCCAGAGCACCTGCCCGCCTCCCCTGCTTGGCCTGCCGTGTCCTCTCGGGCCCTGTGTCTTCTGCTTGCCTGCGCTGGGACGCCTAGCTGCTGCCCTACTGGAGAGTGCTGCCGCCGTGTCCCCGCGCCGCTGTGCTCCTGTGCCGCTGAGGAGCTGTGCTGCTGTGCCGCTGTGTCGCCGAGGAGCTGTGCCGCTGACCCTGCACGATGGCTGACTTTGTGCTCCGCCTGGACGCTGAGGGCCACGCGGTTGACTTCGCCGCCTGGCTCTCCGATCTTCGCCGCCAGCTTACAGGTCAGCGCCAGGATGGCCACTCTCTGGTTGTCCATGCTGATGGCTTGCTCCCCCGTCCCCCTGCACCTACTCCCCTCCCTGCTGACCCCTCCTCTGATGACCGTGAGGCTTTCTCTGTTAGGATTAAGGACGGAGTCTAGGTGAACTTAGGAGCTAGAATTACTCAAAAATATAAATTCGAAATTCTGGACAGAAAAGTCGTCTTCACAAGAAACGACGTCGACGAAAAACTAGCCGTTGGAATGTCGCGAAACTCGGATATGTTGTAGCTCTTAATCTCAGCTACCGTTCCCAATTTGAATCACGTTAATTAATGAAGTATTCGCGACGCTATAGCTTTCGACGCATTAGGGGGTAAGCTGTAGGAGGAGAACTTAACTCAATCTCAAGAGTTCAATCAAAGTTCAAGAATCTCACAAGGAATTAGAGGAGCAAGAGAAAGGTTGGGATAGAAGAGAGGGATGAGAGGGAAGGTCTCAAGAGAGTCCCCAACCAAGGAAACCCCATAAGCACAAAGATTCCCTCCCTATAGGAACCTCAACTTTGACCTTTGTCCCTTCCCAACCAATCCATCCAAGTTGGCCACCCTTGCCAACCTAGCTTGGTTGTTCCCAACCTATTTGCAGCTGTTACAGTAGAGTGACAAGTTTACCCAACCCCAAAGGTCCCAACTCCATATAAAGTCACCCCACAACTTCACTTTGTAACCGCCGCAATTGTAACGCAAGCTCATGAACTTTGAATCTTCATAGCTTTCGCGTTCTTGCTCCGATTGAAGGGATTCTCGTTGCGTCGGAAAGATCTTCTCAAGATCTATCATCACAAAAAACCTGCTCAAACAAAATAACACAAAACACATTCCCAAACTCCAGAACACATCACACACAAATTCTTGCACACGTTCAAACCACACATGCAAGTTGAAAAATATGGGATGGGAGGCAGACAGAATGTGATAGCATATGATGACATCACACAACAATCTCCCCCTCTGGCTGCCAACCATCATCCACCATACCAACATCTCAAGCATGCATACTCAATGCACACTCATCCCAGCAAGCTTCATGCCCTTCCAATGATCCGCCTCCGCCAGACGCTTGGTGAAAATATCTGCTGCCTGCTGATGGGTTTTCACGATCTCCAGCCGCACCTCCTTATCAAGGAGTCTCCTCACCCAGTGCCACTTAGGCCTTATGTGTTTTGTAAGCCCATGCAGACGAGCATTCTTGGCGAGCTTCACAGCGGACTCATTGTCACAAAACACAACTGTCGGCTTCTCCTGACCAACTCCCAACTCCTCCAACAAACGCCTTAGCCACACTACTTCCTTGGCCCCATGGTGTAAGGCCATGTACTCAGTCTCACATGAGGACAATCCCACCTCATTCTGCTTCTTGCTGCGCCAGCTCACAGCACCACCTCCTAGCAAGCACACATAACCCCCAATGCTGGTGCCATCCGCTTTCACTGAGTTGAAGCTAGCGTCAGTATAGCAACTCAAGAGCATCTCTCCACTCTTCACATCTGCAGCACCTCTCTGCAACCGCTGCCTCACTCCACTGTACTCCAATCCCACTGATGCCGTAGCACTCACATAGCGGACCAACCTCTTGGCCGCTTCCAGCTGCTCATGACTAGGGCGTGAGACCACACTAGCCAACCGTGATGTAGAAAATGCAATGTCAGGCCGGGTATGATTTGCAGCATAATTCAGCGACCCAACCATCGAATGAAACAGCTTCCTGTCACTCTCACCCACTACCTCCTCATCAGCACATGGCTCCACAGTAAACCCTGAAGGTAGTGGTGTTGCTGGCTTTCCCCCATCTTGCAGCCCATACTTCTCAGCCAGCCCCTCACAGTACTTCCTCTGGTGCAACCTCAGCACACCCTTTTCCACATCTCTCTCCACGTGCATCCCCAAGTAGTACTTCACCTCACCCATCTTGGAGCACTTGAACTGCATCTCCAGCATCTGCTCTGCGCTGTCCAGCAAAGCAGTGGATGCAGAAAAGAGAAGGATATCATCCACATACACCAAGAGCATGAGGATTTCATCCTTCTCCTGCAGCAGGAACAGGCTGGGGTCACACTCACTCTTCTTGAAACCCCCAGCCACCAGCGCCTCCTTCAACTTGTGATACCATGCACGAGGCGCCTGCTTAAGGCCATAGATTGCCTTCTTCAGCCTGCAGACCCTGCCGCTCCCATCATCCAGCCCCTCTGGCTGCTTCATGTACACCTCCTCCAGAATGATCCCATTCAGAAAGGCAGTCACAATGTCCATCTGCCGTATCTTCCATCCCAGGAGTGCAGCTATCGCCAACAGCACCCTCAGTGTTGTTCCTTTCCCCACAGGAGCAAACACCTCATCATAGTCCTTCCCCTTTGTCTGCTGAAACCCCCGTGCCACAAGCCTAGACTTGTAGCGGGTCAGCTCCCCTTCAGGTCCATACTTGTGCCTGTAGATCATCTTGGAAGTGATTGCCTTCTTCCCAGGAGGCAAGTCACACAGGTCCCATGTCTCGTTCTCAATCAGGGACCCAAACTCCTCATCCTCACTCGCCTTCCACTTCTCCCCATTTGGTCCATTCAAAGCCTCCTCTCGAGTCTTGGGCTCAGGGATTGGTGCCCAGTAGCAGTGAGCGATCTCATCTTCCTCAATCTGCTCAACCACACTCCCAGCCTGCACCACATTCGGCTTGCCTCTTCCCCCATAGGTCAGCCTCACTGGAGGGCGCACATCCCTCCTAGGTCGCTCAGGCGGGTGTGGAACTCGAGGTGGAGACTCATGCTGCTGCTGCTGCTCCACCTCAGCTGCTCCCTCTTCCTCAGTCACCCCAGACATCTCCTCCTCAGACACTGCAACCTCCACCTGTCTTGAAGGCCGCTGCACCTCATCTACCTCCACAATGAGCGGTGTAGATGGAAGCTTCTGTTGCTGCTGCTTCCATTCCTTGTAGTACAGGGACTCAAGAAACTTCACATCCCTTGACACTGTCAGCTTCTGGGTGGTCAAGTCCCATAGCAGCCACGCTTTGTGATCCTTTGCAATCCCCAAGTGCACACCCCATCTTCCAGAAGCCTCCAACTTCCCTCTTTTCTCCTTAGGCACATGAAACACCACCATGCACCCAAAAGCCCTCAGCATATTCACAGCTGGAGCACTCCCATACCACTTGGTATATGGGATCCACTCCTTATCTCCAACTGTAGCCAGCACCCTGTTCTTCACAAGGGCGACCTGCCTCAGTGCAGACACCCAAAACGGATCAGGCAGCCCTGCACGCCCAAGGAGGGTGCGTGCCCCCTCCTGCAGGGTCCTGTTGAACCTCTCAGCCACACCATTCTGCTGCGGGTTGTAGGGCACTGTCAGTTGATGCTGGATCCCCTTCCTCTTCAACTCCCCCTCAAAATCAGCTCCAATGAACTCCCCACCATTGTCACTGCGGATCACCTTCACCTTGTATCCGCATTCCCTCTGAGCTCTAGGCATCCACTCCTTAAGGACAGCCGCTGCCACCTCCCCCTTGCTCTTCAAAGGGTAAACCCACACTGCCCGAGTGTGGTCATCCACAATTGTCAAGAAATAGCGGCTGCCTGAGAGGGAAGGGGCTCTTGTGGGCCCCACCACATCCATGTGCACAAGTGCAAGTGGGGTCTTGGCTGGTCCTGTAGTGCTGTTGAAGGGGAACTTGGAGAACTTGGTCTCCAAGCATGTAGGGCAGCTCCCAATCTCCTTCACTCCCCCTTTCACCTCCAAGCCCTTCAGGCTCCCATTCTTCACCAACTTCTGCAGCATAGGGAAGTTCACATGACACAGCCTCTCATGCCATGTCTCCCAATCGGCCTCTCCACTCCTTGATGAAGCCTTAGCCCATGCCGCACTCGCATCCACACCAGCAAGCACCTCACCATGTGTCTGCTGCTGCTGCACTTTCTTAACTGCTTCCAGGACCCCATCAGTTGGTGCAGTTGCATCTCCTCCTGCTGTTGCCTTTGCCGCTGCTGCCGTTGCTGTTGTTGGAGTCTTCCCATTCCAAGGGATGATGGGCAGCTGCCATAGGTCCTTGATGCAGCTGGTCTCCTCTTCCAGACTCCACAGCACCTTCTTCCCAAGCTTAGCACGGCAGCTGGTTGGTCCAAAGGTCACTTCGGCCTTGCTCTTCTGCAGTCGTCGCACAGAGAGAAGGTTAGCAGACAAGCCTTCAACCAGCAGAACATTCCCAAGCCCCACAAGCTCCCCATTAGCTCCCTTAACCTTGGCATTTCCAACACCAATGACAGGGAGCAAAGCACCTGACGCTGCTGCCACATACTTGATCTTCCCAGGGGTTTTTACCTCATCAAGCAAATCTGCCCGTGGGGTCATGTGACTGGTGCAACCCGAATCAATCACCCAGTGCGTGAGAGGGTGCATCACAACCTTTCCCACAGATCCCACATCACCCTCATGCCCATGCACATCCTCAACCATAAGAAACAAACCAGGATAGGCATTACCTTGTGCACCTTCACCTTGTGCACCTGAGCCTTGCACAGCGCCACCTTGTGCGCGTTCACCACTGGGGGGCTTCATGCCTGGAGGTGCCCATCCCTCCGGCCTGCTGAAGCACTTGAACCAAGGATGCCCGATCTTCTTGCAGTACCAGCAGGTGCCCTCCATTCTGGTACTCCCCCTGCCACTAGAGCTCCCATGCCCCTCATTATAGCCACCTCGGCCTCTACCTCTGCCAAAGCTCCTCCCACGGCCTCGGCCTCTCCAACCCCCTCTTCCTCTGCCGCGCCCTGCAGCTCCATACCCCTCAGCAGTCTTAGTGGCAGCACCGCCTCCCACATGGCGTCTGCGGAAGTCCTCCTGCAGAATCTGCTGCCTTAGCCACTCAGGTGTCCATTGATCTTGCTGAGAGTTGAGGGTGGGGATGAGGTTGTCCCAAGAGTTGTCCAACACCGAGATGATCTTGGTGCACTGCTGCAGCTGAGATACACTGCTGCTTGCTGCTGCCATCCTTGCATAGGTGTCCTTGATCTTGTCAAGGACCGGCTTCACATCGTCCCCTGGTCGCATGGAGATGGCAGCAAGTTCCTTCTCGAGCACGATCACCATTGGGAGAGTGTTGGGCTGAATCACATCACGTAGTAGTTTCCACGCCCTTGGACCCGAATCATCCGCTTCCACAAGATCCTTGATGTGCTCGAACATCTCCTTGTTGACCGATTGAAGGATGAGGTCGAAAAGCACCGCGCTTTTCTCAATCCACCGTTCGCGTGCTTCGTCTTCTTCCGGCATCTTCTCTTCCCCAACAGCAATCTTCAGTAGCTTGTAGCGTTTGAAGGCACTCCTCATCCGTCCGCTCCATTCCTCATAGTTGGAGCCATCCAAAGCTTCAACTTTTGATGGCGGTGGCTCACTTGTCTTCTCAGCTACAGCTCCTCTTCCATTAGCATCTCCTCCTCTCTCATTCATCTTCTCCTTGAGAAATGACGAATTTCAGCTCCCCTTTGCTGTCCACACTCAGCTCCCTCGATATTTTCACAAGTGTCGGCGTCCACGAAATTTCGGCAGAGTTTCCCCTTAGCGGAAGTCACATCCAACCTTTAGAACACCACTTAGGCACACCCACAGGCCATGGTGGGTCTAGAAGGGTCTTCACACTTCTGTAGACTCCTCTCAATGTCCTTTATATTGCTCTGATACCACTTGTTAGGATTAAGGACGGAGTCTAGGTGAACTTAGGAGCTAGAATTACTCAAAAATATAAATTCGAAATTCTGGACAGAAAAGTCGTCTTCACAAGAAACGACGTCGACGAAAAACTAGCCGTTGGAATGTCGCGAAACTCGGATATGTTGTAGCTCTTAATCTCAGCTACCGTTCCCAATTTGAATCACGTTAATTAATGAAGTATTCGCGACGCTATAGCTTTCGACGCATTAGGGGGTAAGCTGTAGGAGGAGAACTTAACTCAATCTCAAGAGTTCAATCAAAGTTCAAGAATCTCACAAGGAATTAGAGGAGCAAGAGAAAGGTTGGGATAGAAGAGAGGGATGAGAGGGAAGGTCTCAAGAGAGTCCCCAACCAAGGAAACCCCATAAGCACAAAGATTCCCTCCCTATAGGAACCTCAACTTTGACCTTTGTCCCTTCCCAACCAATCCATCCAAGTTGGCCACCCTTGCCAACCTAGCTTGGTTGTTCCCAACCTATTTGCAGCTGTTACAGTAGAGTGACAAGTTTACCCAACCCCAAAGGTCCCAACTCCATATAAAGTCACCCCACAACTTCACTTTGTAACCGCCGCAATTGTAACGCAAGCTCATGAACTTTGAATCTTCATAGCTTTCGCGTTCTTGCTCCGATTGAAGGGATTCTCGTTGCGTCGGAAAGATCTTCTCAAGATCTATCATCACAAAAAACCTGCTCAAACAAAATAACACAAAACACATTCCCAAACTCCAGAACACATCACACACAAATTCTTGCACACGTTCAAACCACACATGCAAGTTGAAAAATATGGGATGGGAGGCAGACAGAATGTGATAGCATATGATGACATCACACAACATTCTCTACTGCTGCGCTGGCCTGTGCGGTCTGGGACTCACGCGATGCAGTAGCTCAGGTTGCTATTAGTCACGCCCTCCCTGTGTCTGAGCGCTCGCGTTTTGCTACTGTTGAAACGGCCAAAGCTTATTTAGACGCCGTTATTGCTCGCTATTCCACCCCTGCCTCCGCTTCTGCTGGCCGCTTGCTCTTTCCGATGCTGTTCCCAGACCTGGCTGCCTTCCCTACTGTCGCTGATTTTGCCACTCATTTGCGTGCCCTAGAGACTCGCTATCGCACTGCCAGCACTGCTGCCCAGCTCACTGCGCTCCCCCCTCCTTTCTGCATGACGCTCTATTTTATCGCTATGCGCCTGCCAGACCGCCTCGCTAGTGCTCGCGACCACTTTCTTAGCCAGCACCCGGGTGACCTCACCCTGACCGCCTTTGTTGACACCCTCACTGAGATCGAGACTCGCCAGCGCACTATCGCTCAGTCGAGCGGTGCGCCGCCAGTCTCTATCTTTCACGGCTGTGCCCCATCCCAGTGCACGTTCACTGACGTTTCGGCTGCGGTCGCCACGACGACCCCTCTTACCGAGACGGCTGCTGCTGTCCACCCGCAGCAGCGCTCGCGTCGCGGTGGCCGTGGCCGCCAGGGAGGTAGGGGTGGTGACGCAGGTGGTAGTGGTCGTGGTGGTGGTGACGGTAGTCCGCCTGAGGGGACTACCACCGGTGGGCAGGAGCAGCAGCCCCAGCAGCAGCAGGACCAGCCCCAGCCGCAGCCGCCGTCCCAGCAGCACCCGCCGCAGCCGTGGGCTCGTCTCCTGCCTGGTTGGCCCGGCACCTCCGGAGGCGGTGGCCGTGGTGGCGGCCCGCGCAGCTTGGCGTCTACCAGCGGCTCCAGTGCTGTGACCTGCCAGTACCAGCTTCAGACTGGGCCTCTCCGCGGCACTCTGTGCTGCCGCCCGCACCCGACCGCCCGCTGTTTCCGCCGCCTCGACGATCTTTTTCGTCGTCGCTTTGGCCCGGCCCCGGACCTCCCTGACTGGCACAGCCTGCTCCGCCAGGGCGTGCCGATCTTTGAGTTAGACATGGATCAGATAGGTGCTGCTTTGCATGCTTTGTATGCTGACGCTTCTAGTGTTGCTGGATCTTACTACCCTGTGTACTCTAGTTTAGGTGTTTCACCCTTGTGTAGCTTAGCTTCCCCTGCTGCGACAGGCGTAGGACTGCCTAGATTGCCTAGTCTAGTCGCTGCACCGGCTCCGTCCCCGGCCTCCGCCACTGCGTCGCTGTCCTTCACTCTCGACTCTGGTGCTTCTGCCTGCTTCTTCCGCGACCGTTCCACGCTCACGCCGCTTGCTACACCTGCTGTTGTCTCTCTCGCTGACCCCTCTGCGGGTCCGGTCGTCGCGCGCAGTTCTACGTCCCTTCCCTGTCCGGCAGTTCCCTCGGGCTCCCTTACTGGCCTCCACGTTCCCTCGTTCTCCAGGAACCTGGTTGGTGTCGGCTGTCTCCAGGACCTCGGCGTCACCACCACGTTCCCCGGGCACGAGCGGTTCGCTGTCTGTTCTGAGGCTGTCTCAGGTTCCCCCCTTGCGACGTTCCCCCGGGACCCGGTGTCCGGTCTGTTTACCCTACACACCGCTTCCCCCCCGGTTGGTGCGTCCTCCCAGGTCGCTGCAGCTTGCTCGTGTCGGTCCCTCACTCACCCCTCCCTTCTCTGGCACCACCGCTTAGGTCACCCTGCTCTCCCGCGTCTGCGTCACATGTCCCAGCACGGTCTTGTCTTAGGTCTCCCCGCGTCGCTCCCTGCCCTTCCTCCCTCGACTGCGCCACCGTGCACGCCTTGCGTCGAGGGTCGGCTCCGCCGTGCTCCTCACTCCTCCTCGCTGCGTCCTGCTACTGCCCCCCTTCAGACCCTGCACTTGGACGTTTGGGGCCCTGCCCCCGTCCCCGGACCGCGCGGTGAGCGCTACTTCCTTGTGCTCGTCGACGACTACACGCGCTACACCACGGTGTTTCCCCTGGAGCGGAAGGCCGACGTGCCCGACGTTCTTCTCCCGTGGGTTGTGGCTGCGCGTCTCCACCGCGGTCTCCCCGTGTTGTGTCTCCACTCCGACCGTGGCGGCGAGTTCGCCTCTGGTCGGCTTGGATAGTTCTGTCGTGCGGAGGGCATCACCCAGTCGTACACGTTGCCGGACTCGCCACAGCAGAATGGGGTTGCTGAGCGCCGCATCGGCTTGGTCATGGAGGTCGCCCGTACCTCCATGATCCATGCCGATGCCCCCCATTTTCTGTGGCCGTTCGCTGTTCGCTACGCGGCTCACCAGCTTAACCTGTGGCCACGCTCCCAGCGGCCGCAGGTTTCGCCGACCCTCCTTTGGACCGGGTCCCCCGGTGACGCGTCTGCGTTCCACGTCTGGGGCTGCCTTGCTCACGTTCGTGCCTCTGGCACGGACAAGCTCACTGCCCGCACTGTCCCCTGTGTCTTCCTCGGTTTCCCCCTGGACTCGTCTGACTGGCTTTTCTACCACCCGCCGTCTCACCGCTTCCTCCACTCTCGTGACGTCACCTTTGACGAGTCCGTCTCCTTCTACCGCCGCTTCCCTCACCGAGGTCTCCCAGTTGCCCCCCCCCTTTTCCTTGCTCCCTCTCCCCCGGTAGCCCCTGCCCCTCTCCCGCCTCGTCCTGCCCCGTCTGGTGTCTCCCACGTCACTCCCCTCCCGTCGGTTGTCCCCGTTGAGGAGTCTGCTGACTCTGGTGGTACCCCCGGTCCGTCCTTGCCGCGTCCCCCTTCCCCGGTGCCTCCGCCCCCACTGTCGCAGTCGCCGACCCCGCTGCCGCCGCCGTCGCCGTCGCCGCCGCAGCCGTCGCCGCTGTCGTCGCCGCCGCCGCCGCTGTCGCTGCCGCAGCCGTCGCCGCTGTCGCCGCCGCCGCAGCCGTTGCCGCCACTGCCGCCGCTGCTCTCGGCCCCTGGGGGTGCTGGTGTGGAGGAGGGTGTTCGTCCTGCGGCTTCTGGGGGTGCCGCTGGTGTTGGAGGGGGTTCTCGCTCTAGGGGTGTTGGTTCTGGGGGTGCTGCTGTTGAGTGTTCTGCCGACGGTCGTTCTGCCTCTGCTGGTCCGAGAGTTCCGGCCCAGCCGTCGTCGCCGCCGCAGCAGCCGTCGCCGCCGGTTTCCGCTCTCCGCCTGCTCGGCCTTCCCTCCCCGGACCGCGCGCCGGTGTCTCCCCCACCGCCTCCTGACCTCCCTGTCTACGGTCCTGTGTTCCCGCCGCCAGACTCGTCTCCGGCCCGTCTTCCTCCTCGTTCCCCTCCTGTGTCTCCTCCGCTGTCCCCTGACCCTACCCCTCCGTCTCACGTTTGGGCTCGCCGTCCCTCCCGTGCTCGTCCCGTCTCTCCTGTCCTGCCCACCCACCCTATGTTGCTCCGTTCCCACTCGTCTCGTCCTCCCCTCCTCCCGTCCCCTCCTCCCTCGTCCCTTGCTGTTGCACCTCCTCCGTTCTCTGACTACCTCCGTGCTGCTCGTCCCCTTGTCCCTCGGGTCCTTGCCTCTCTTGTTACCGACCCTGCTGTTCCTGTCTCGCGCCTTGACGCGCTTGTCGCTGCTGTCGCTGACTTCGCTTCTACCCGCCGCCTTGACTACGCTACCGCTCTGGTCTCTGACCCTGCCCGTCCTCTGTCCGTCGGGGGTGCTCCTGCCCTTGGCAGTGACGTCCTAGAGGACAGGCAGTACGAGCTGGCTTTCCTTTCCGAGGCTGCTCCCCATCTCTGCTCCATGCTGTTAGTCCCTGAGGGTGACCCAGACGCCTTCGACATCCCGACCCCTCGCACCTACGCTGAGGCCACCTCGGGACCTTGGGCCTCTCAGTGGATAGCTGCCATGGAGCAGGAGATGGCATCTTGGAGATCCACCGGCACTTACGTCGACGCAGTTCCCCCGCCTGGGGTGAACGTAGTCGATGGTCGGTGGCTCTTCAAGGTGAAGCGCCCCCCTGGAGAGCCGCCTGTCTTCAAGGCGCGCTACGTGGCCAGAGGTTTCAGTCAGCGCGAGGGGGTTGACTTCTTCCAGACCTTCGCCCCGACCCCGAAGATGACCACTCTTCGGGCGCTGCTACACGTAGCAGCACAGCGTGACTACGAGCTTCACTCCCTCGACTTCTCTACTGCCTTTCTTCAGGGCAGCCTACACGAGCAGGTCTACCTGCGCCGACCACAGGGCTTCACTGGTACCTTCCCTCCTGGGACCCAGTGGCTTCTCAGGCGCCCGGTCTACGGCCTGCGTCAGGCTCCCCGCGAGTGGCACGACACGCTACGTGCCACGTTAGCAGACCTGCAGTTCTTTCCGTCCTCTGCTGACCCTTCACTGTTTGTGCGTTCCGGCCAGACTCCGTTCTACATCCTTGTCTACGTAGACGACCTGGTCTTCGCTACTCCTGACAGGGACGCACTGGCCTCTGTGAAGGCTGAGCTGCTGAAGAGACACACCTGCACTGACCTTGGAGAGCTGCGTCGCTATCTTGGCCTGCAGATCTCTAGGGACAGAGCAGCACGCACCATCACTCTGACCCAGTCACACTTGGTGCGTCAGGTCCTTCAGAGGTTCGGTCTTCAGTTCTCCTCTGCACAGCCCACACCTCTACCCGTAGACCATGGGCTCTCTGCTCCCGTTCCTGAGGAGCCAGTAGAGCCCAGTGGCCCCTACGCAGAGCTGGTGGGTTGCCTCATGTACCTGATGACTTGCACTCGCCCAGATCTCGCATACCCTCTCAGCATCCTGGCTCGCTTTGTGGCTACAGGCAGACACCGACCTCAGCACTGGTCTGCCGCTAAGAGGGTTTTGCGTTATCTTGCTAGTACATCAGGCATGGGGTTAGTGCTAGGAGGACGCAGGCCAGTGGTCCTTACTGGGCACACAGACGCTTCTTGGGCAGACGACGCTGAGACGCTCAGGTCGTCGCAGGGCTACTGTTTCAGCCTTGGTTCGGGTGCTATCTCTTGGAGATCCACTCGCTCGTCGTCTGTGGCTCAGTCTAGCTGTGAGGCTGAGATCTACGCTGGTGCCATGGCGGCACAGGAGCTCCGCTGGCTGACCTTCTTGCTCACAGACTTAGGTGAGCGGCCTAGCTCTGCCCCGGTCCTGTACGCTGACAACAGGGCCATGATACTCCTGTGTCAGGAGCCTCGGCTTGAGGGCAGAGCGAAGCATATCCAGCTGCGGTACTTCCTCCTGCGCGAGCTACAGCAGCGCCGCCAGGCCCGCGTAGTTCACTTGGCCTCAGGTGCCAACACAGCTGATATCTTTACTAAGGCGCTTGCGCCTAAAGATCATCAGCGGCACTGTGTACAGCTTGGTCTTGTTCCTATAGCTGCTCCCCTGTTAGGATCCTGATTGTGTACTCTCTATTATATATGCTTGTCAGACTGGCCTTGTGGCCTTACCTCAAGTGGCTGGACTAGTAGTGCCACCCTGGCTTGCTTCAGTTTTGGTTGTATTCTTGCTGACTGGTCTCCAGACCCCTGCCTCAGTGGTTGGACTAGTAGTGCCGCCCTGAGCTGTTTGCTTCTTGTTTAGTTTCACCCCTTGTCTAGCCTAGGGGGTGTGTCAACTTATACATATTATCTATGTAGAAGTTATAGGCTAGACTGAGGTATGCTTCTAGTGAGTACAACCAACTAGTATTTGTTCTAGGTTTCCACCTCTAGTAATCATTCGTTTCTACGTTAACACCCGGGTCCAACTTGAAAATCAAGTTGGGCCCACTTGGAGAATGACGAGGCAATGGGGTCGCACAAGTACCTGCGACCTGTGACAGCTCGCAAACCCTGTCCTACAAATTTCCCAGCCAATCGTGTGCTCGCGCTTGTTCACTCTGAACAGCACGGCTGCGTTATGGAACTGCCCTGGTTCCCATCACTCTCACAGATTCAAACTTGGTGCGCTAGGTCCTTCAGAGGTTCGGTCTTCAGTTCTCCTCCATACAGAGGCTAACAACCCCTTAGAAAAAATCGAGGGTCCCTTGGTTTCAAGTTGGACCCGCCTTCACTATTTTAGCCCCTCGCTTTAAGTCTGCAGCTCTGAGTGTCGCTCAATTCCCATCAGTACAGACTGCGACAGTATTCGCTCCTATAACGAGATATAAATCCAACCGTTCGCAACGGACTTGGGGGAAAATCACGAACGGTACCGATTCAGCCTGGAAAGTGCAAGTCCACCTCCGGTTGGTGGACAGCTTGAATCCGGTTACACGGCGAATATCAGTAGCTGCAGCAGTAAAATTCTCCCCCCTACCTATACTGTATGTTTTTTTCTGCTCCTTCACCCTCCCGCTTTTCTGTGTTCTTTTCCCGCAACACCTGCCAGGTGTTTTTACAGGCAATTGTCCTGGTGATGTCCTCCCTCCGTTGTTTGATGCCTGCCACCCCACCTGGGGTTATTGTTGTGTAGCAGCCAAAACGAACCCCTCCCAGGCCTCTCGATTAGTTTTGAGGCACTCCATGCAATCAGTCTCCAGGGTCTACCAGCAGGACTCGAGGAGGAACCTAGGCGCCAGGAAGTGTGCAGTGGTCGGAAGAGGCAACAGGTTGATCTAGAGGCACTGGGTTGAGTTTTGATAGAGCAGCAGGTTGGAAAGCGCGAACAGGACACGTCAGTGAAGATAGCCATTTTAATCTGAGTAGCTTATGGTTTTGGTCTGAGCAACTTACTCTGGAAACTAATATACCAGTTCCCACCTCTCCCCAAACCAATGCCCCCTCTTCAACCATTCACCTTGCCTGATTCGCCATCCAAATTCGCTAGCTGCGAGGAGACCAGAGAAACTCGAGTCGCCTTTCGGTTGCATTGCGCTGCGATGCGAGCCGGCGTCCCAGAATAACCTGCTCATATACATGCGCGCACTTCTAGCTGCACCAGGCCTCTTGCTAAAAGAGTAATTGCCCTTAATGTCGAGAAATTAAGAGTTGTTCTCCACTGGATTCCGTTTTTTGACGAATTAAAATCTCCTGATTCCGTCCCCATAAAGGGCTGGATTCCATGTGATTCCTTAACATTACGAGCTTCTTTCTTTTGATTCCGTTCTCACTGTATTTAACACCCGCTTCCCCCCACTACTCCCCTCCAGTTCCCGGCCAAGAGTGCACTATCTTTCCACCTGCTGTTTTGTAGACAGACGAGCAGAATTTTTCCCACTCTCCCGATCCTCTAAAGCACAGCATACCTTGAATCTTACCTCGCCTCTTTCTGAGCCGTGGCGAAGGTTCTCAGTCTGTGAGGACGGTAGTATAGCACGAAGGGTAGCTCGTCAGCGAATCCGTATGCTAACGGGTACTTCTCTGTAGATTCCGTCCGTTAACGGGTAATTCTGGGTCGATTCCGTCCCCTAACGGAATCCCCTAGGGCTTAGCGAGAGGCCTGAGCTGCACCAACACTTGCGCCAAATCCCGCCTGAACTTCCGCTGCGTTGTCTGCTGCACAAGCCCCCACCGCCAATTGCCGGCATCCATCCCACCACATTCCACACAGAAATCAACGTCCAGAAGGTGTTCCCTTCCCTCCCTTCCCATAGAATTGGCCGTCCAACAATCGTCTCAGCAGAAAGAATGGCTGCGATTTTTTACTGTAACTGTCGCAGTTACGGAAGAGCGTACAGTTTGCTTTGCGACACACAGCATTGCCCTTCCGCCAATTGCTCCTCCGTTCACGACTCGTCTAGTTTCGCCCGTCGCGCGGGCAGCTGGAGCTGGGTGGGGTAGGTTAGGACCAGGTGGGCGGGCGCTATACCACCTGGACTGGCTTGCATCTGAACGAATCAGAGAGACGCAAAGCAGTGACTGTACTCCAGTCTAACGCCTAGTGCCGCTTCAGAGTATCCACGCCCGACTTCTCCCGCAGCGTCGTTCACTTGCTCCCCGGCTTTCCGCCTCCACGGTAAATCCTTCTACAAAAAGCTGTAAGATTTACTTCGCTGAAGTAGAGTCAATCATCAACCTGAGAAGAATCGGAAGCAGTTTTGAAACTAACGTCTTGAGCTTTCGCTGGCTAGGATCAGCGGAGCGAGGACCTGCGGGTTTAGTAGTCGACTCAAAAGCGCTCGCTGGCGAGAATCTGCGGGGCGATCAGCAGCAGCAGCCGCAGCAGCAGCAGCAGCAGCAGCAGCAGCAGCAGCAGCAGCAGCAGCAGCAGCAGCAGCAGCAGCAGCAGCAGCAGCAGCAGCAGCAGCAGCAGCAGCAGCAGCAGCAGCAGCAGCAGCAGCAGCAGCAGCAGCAGCAGCAGCAGCAGCAGCAGCAGCAGCAGCAGCAGCAGCAGCAGCAGCAGCAGCAGCAGCAGCAGCAGCGGCGGCGGCGGCGGCGGCGGCGGCGGCGGCGGCGGCGGCGGCGGCGGCAGCAGCAGCAGCAGCAGCACAGCAGCAGCAGAAGCAGAGCATGATGGCACCCCTTCTCCCCTTCCTGCTCCTCCTCCTCCTCCCTCGCACCACCGACGCTCGACTCACCGTCGACGCGCTCCTCCGCGTCGCCTCTCGCCCAGCCGCGCGGGCCCTTCAAGTGCAGACGTGCACGGGGATAACGCAGCCCTGCCCCGGCGGCGTCGGCTGCGTCGAGAACGCGCGCTTCTGCGACGGCGCGCCCGACTGCCCGGACGGCAGCGACGAGGACAGCAACTACTGCGCGATGATGTTTCCACCGGACTACGACTACGGGCCGCAGTGCAACCCCGAGCAGCAGCAGATGACGTGCCCGGGCGGCGGGCAGTGCGTGGACGAGGCGCGCGTGTGCGACGGGAAGGCGGATTGCGCCGACGGCAGCGACGAGAAGGCCAGCTACTGCTACGACTTTTATTGCGACAACTTTGGGAGGGTGCGTGCTAGTGGTGGTACTACCGTTGCTGGTACTCATACAAGTGCCAGTGGGTAGTATTGCAACAGCGACGAGGCGCCCAGCTACTGCTACGACTTCTACCGCGACACTATCGGGAGGGTGGGTGCTGGTATAGCTACTTCCACAGCAACTATGGTGCTACCAGTGCTGCAATGTGTGAGACGCCCATCGCTCACCCTGTTCTCAGAGTCTCAGAGTCTCACAGTCTCAGAGTCTCAGAGTCTCGAAGGCGTTATAATTTTGCCCCTTAACTGCTTCGTCCCAAAATACCAGGATCAGAAATACGGAGTAGGTACACAGTAGGTACGGCATAGGTACGTCTGCTACGGAGTAGCCTTGCTATACGAACAACTATACCTACAATATAGGAGAGATCCACATTTTTGTGACGTTTTTCCGAGTGGCACTGTGCGTGTTTCTGTGCAACAATTCCGTCCCCATTTCCTCGCTCGCCGCCGAACCTTGTCCTTTCGCCACCTTCCATTCTTCTCCCCCTCGCTTCCGCCCTCACATCCCCATCATCTCCCCCTCACTCGCTCGGCCAATGCCCTTCCATGACTGTCTGCATGCCCCTAGGCGGCGGGGGCGACTGCGCGTGATGGCAGCGACGAAAGGAGACGCTTCTGATTGGACGCACCACTTTTCTCTCCCCCTTACATCTTCACCAGGCGCAACGCCCCTCGACCGCGAGTGGGTCGCGCGACTGTTGAGTCGACTCTCTCTCCCTCTTCCCCCCCACCTCCCCCTTCTCTCCCCCGTAACGTCTCCACCAGGCGCAATTCCCCTCTAAGACCGGCTTGCATGCCCCTCTGCGGCGAGTGCGACAGCATTAGTATTGAATCGACTCTCTCTCCCCCCCAACCCCCCCACCCCCCTCCCTCCCTCTTCTCTCCTTGATTCTTCCCCACCAGGTGCAATGCCCCTCTAAGATGGGCTGCATGCCGCCTGGCGGTGAGTGCGACGGCGTGAAGCACTGCGCGGACGGCAGTGACGAGGGGAGCCAATGCCCCGGGTATCAAGACCCATCGACGACTGGAGGCAGCTCGACGACTGGAGGCGGCTCGACGTCTGGAGGCGGCTCGACGTCTGGAGGCGGCTCGACGTCTGGAGGCGGCTCGACGTCTGGGGGCGGCTCGACGTCTGGGGGGGGGACTGTTGTGCTGAGTCCGGAGGAAATGGCGAGGCAGAAGAGGGAAGCAGCCGCAAGGCGGGCGGCTGCTATTGCTGCTAAGAAGGCGGCTCTGGAGGCAAAGCGGAAGAAGCAGGAGGAGAAAGCGGCGGCAATTGCTGAGAAGAAGCGGAAGCAGGAGGAAAAAGCGGCGGCCATTGCGGAGAAGAAGAGGCTCCAGGAGGCGAAGGCTGCTGCTATTGCTGAGAAGAAGCGGAAGCAGGCAGAAAAGGCGGCCGCGATTGAAGCTAAGAAGAGGAAGCAGGCTGAGAAGGCAGCTGCGATAGTGGCTAAGAGGAGGAGAGAGGCCGCAAGGGCAGAAGCTGTGAGCAACTAGAGAGGAACAGCCACCCACAAGAAGCAACCTTCACATGAGCAACTCATGTGCTCCAATCATACCCGTAATCCCCCGTATATAACACCCCGGGTGCAGTACAAAATTCAGGAAAAAAATAGGGGGTGTGTGCTCTATTTTGCGTTTAAGCTATAGCACCCTAGTGTTATATTTGAGGATGATTTATTAAAGATGTGCTTTCTGTTGAGAAGGCTAGGACGCCATGGAATGGCAAGAGGTTTAGCTAGGGGGCAGAAAGTATTGAGAGAAGAGGGGGAGACTAGGAAAGAGAAGAAGTTACAAGAAGGGGGGGGGTTTCCCCTTCACAGTATGATCCAGTAACACCTACCAAGCCTACAACTATGTAAAGAATATAATTTAACACATTCGACTCAACATGTCTTCGCGATTTCAACCATGCAAATTTCGACTCAAGAGGCGTATGGTTGTTCGTGAGATAATACTAGACTAATTGAAACAAGGGAGATATAGGATTGGTGTTCAACCCCCTAAGAACACAACCCTATCTAGCCTATAACTTTTACATAAAACATATGTATCACTTGACACACCCCCTAGGCTAGATAAGGGGCAGTGCTGAGCAGGAAACGCGCAGCTCAAGGTGGCACTACTAGTCCAACCTCTGAGGCAGGGGTCCGAAGTGTTAACGTAGAAACGAATGATTACTAGAGGTGGAAACCTAGAACAAATACTAGTTGGTTGTACTCACTAGAAGCATACCTCAGTCTAGCCTATAACTTCTACATAGATAATATGTATAAGTTGACACACCCCCTAGGCTAGACAAGGGGTGAAACTAAACAAGAAGCAAACAGCTCAGGGCGGCACTACTAGTCCAACCACTGAGGCAGGGGTCTGGAGACCAGTCAGCAAGAATACAACCAAAACTGAAGCAAGCCAGGGTGGCACTACTAGTCCAGCCACTGGAGGTAAGGCCACAAGGCCAGTCTGACAAGCATATATAATAGAGAGTACACAATCAGGATCCTAACAGGGGAGCAGCTATAGGAACAAGACCAAGCTGTACACAGTGCCGCTGATGATCTTTAGGCGCAAGCGCCTTAGTAAAGATATCAGCTGTGTTGGCACCTGAGGCCAAGTGAACTACGCGGGCCTGGCGGCGCTGCTGTAGCTCGCGCAGGAGGAAGTACCGCAGCTGGATATGCTTCGCTCTGCCCTCAAGCCGAGGCTCCTGACACAGGAGTATCATGGCCCTGTTGTCAGCGTACAGGACCGGGGCAGAGCTAGGCCGCTCACCTAAGTCTGTGAGCAAGAAGGTCAGCCAGCGGAGCTCCTGTGCCGCCATGGCACCAGCGTAGATCTCAGCCTCACAGCTAGACTGAGCCACAGACGACGAGCGAGTGGATCTCCAAGAGATAGCACCCGAACCAAGGCTGAAACAGTAGCCCTGCGACGACCTGAGCGTCTCAGCGTCGTCTGCCCAAGAAGCGTCTGTGTGCCCAGTAAGGACCACTGGCCTGCGTCCTCCTAGCACTAACCCCATGCCTGATGTACTAGCAAGATAACGCAAAACCCTCTTAGCGGCAGACCAGTGCTGAGGTCGGTGTCTGCCTGTAGCCACAAAGCGAGCCAGGATGCTGAGAGGGTATGCGAGATCTGGGCGAGTGCAAGTCATCAGGTACATGAGGCAACCCACCAGCTCTGCGTAGGGGCCACTGGGCTCTACTGGCTCCTCAGGAACGGGAGCAGAGAGCCCATGGTCTACGGGTAGAGGTGTGGGCTGTGCGGAGGAGAACTGAAGACCGAACCTCTGAAGGACCTGACGCACCAAGTGTGACTGGGTCAGAGTGATGGTGCGTGCTGCTCTGTCCCTAGAGATCTGCAGGCCAAGATAGCGACGCAGCTCTCCAAGGTCAGTGCAGGTGTGTCTCTTCAGCAGCTCAGCCTTCACAGAGGCCAGTGAGTCCCTGTCAGGAGTAGCGAAGACCAGGTCGTCTACGTAGACAAGGATGTAGAACGGAGTCTGGCCGGAACGCACAAACAGTGAAGGGTCAGCAGAGGACGGAAAGAACTGCAGGTCTGCTAACGTGGCACGTAGCGTGTCGTGCCACTCGCGGGGAGCCTGACGCAGGCCGTAGACCGGGCGCCTGAGAAGCCACTGGGTCCCAGGAGGGAAGGTACCAGTGAAGCCCTGTGGTCGGCGCAGGTAGACCTGCTCGTGTAGGCTGCCCTGAAGAAAGGCAGTAGAGAAGTCGAGGGAGTGAAGCTCGTAGTCACGCTGTGCTGCTACGTGTAGCAGCGCCCGAAGAGTGGTCATCTTCGGGGTCGGGGCGAAGGTCTGGAAGAAGTCAACCCCCTCGCGCTGACTGAAACCTCTGGCCACGTAGCGCGCCTTGAAGACAGGCGGCTCTCCAGGGGGGCGCTTCACCTTGAAGAGCCACCGACCATCGACTACGTTCACCCCAGGCGGGGGAACTGCGTCGACGTAAGTGCCGGTGGATCTCCAAGATGCCATCTCCTGCTCCATGGCAGCTATCCACTGAGAGGCCCAAGGTCCCGAGGTGGCCTCAGCGTAGGTGCGAGGGGTCGGGATGTCGAAGGCGTCTGGGTCACCCTCAGGGACTAACAGCATGGAGCAGAGATGGGGAGCAGCCTCGGAAAGGAAAGCCAGCTCGTACTGCCTGTCCTCTAGGACGTCACTGCCAAGGGCAGGAGCACCCCCGACGGACAGAGGACGGGCAGGGTCAGAGACCAGAGCGGTAGCGTAGTCAAGGCGGCGGGTAGAAGCGAAGTCAGCGACAGCAGCGACAAGCGCGTCAAGGCGCGAGACAGGAACAGCAGGGTCGGTAACAAGAGAGGCAAGGACCCGAGGGACAAGGGGACGAGCAGCACGGAGGTAGTCAGAGAACGGAGGAGGTGCAACAGCAAGGGACGAGGGAGGAGGGGACGGGAGGAGGGGAGGACGAGACGAGTGGGAACGGAGCAACATAGGGTGGGTGGGCAGGACAGGAGAGACGGGACGAGCACGGGAGGGACGGCGAGCCCAAACGTGAGACGGAGGGGTAGGGTCAGGGGACAGCGGAGGAGACACAGGAGGGGAACGAGGAGGAAGACGGGCCGGAGACGAGTCTGGCGGCGGGAACACAGGACCGTAGACAGGGAGGTCAGGAGGCGGTGGGGGAGACACCGGCGCGCGGTCCGGGGAGGGAAGGCCGAGCAGGCGGAGAGCGGAAACCGGCGGCGACGGCTGCTGCGGCGGCGACGACGGCTGGGCCGGAACTCTCGGACCAGCAGAGGCAGAACGACCGTCGGCAGAACACTCAACAGCAGCACCCCCAGAACCAACACCCCTAGAGCGAGAACCCCCTCCAACACCAGCGGCACCCCCAGAAGCCGCAGGACGAACACCCTCCTCCACACCAGCACCCCCAGGGGCCGAGAGCAGCGGCGGCAGTGGCGGCAACGGCTGCGGCGGCGGCGACAGCGGCGACGGCTGCGGCAGCGACAGCGGCGGCGGCGGCGACGACAGCGGCGACGGCTGCGGCGGCGACGGCGACGGCGGCGGCAGCGGGGTCGGCGACTGCGACAGTGGGGGCGGAGGCACCGGGGAAGGGGGACGCGGCAAGGACGGACCGGGGGTACCACCAGAGTCAGCAGACTCCTCAACGGGGACAACCGACGGGAGGGGAGTGACGTGGGAGACACCAGACGGGGCAGGACGAGGCGGGAGAGGGGCAGGGGCTACCGGGGGAGAGGGAGCAAGGAAAAGGGGGGGGGCAACTGGGAGACCTCGGTGAGGGAAGCGGCGGTAGAAGGAGACGGACTCGTCAAAGGTGACGTCACGAGAGTGGAGGAAGCGGTGAGACGGCGGGTGGTAGAAAAGCCAGTCAGACGAGTCCAGGGGGAAACCGAGGAAGACACAGGGGACAGTGCGGGCAGTGAGCTTGTCCGTGCCAGAGGCACGAACGTGAGCAAGGCAGCCCCAGACGTGGAACGCAGACGCGTCACCGGGGGACCCGGTCCAAAGGAGGGTCGGCGAAACCTGCGGCCGCTGGGAGCGTGGCCACAGGTTAAGCTGGTGAGCCGCGTAGCGAACAGCGAACGGCCACAGAAAATGGGGGGCATCGGCATGGATCATGGAGGTACGGGCGACCTCCATGACCAAGCCGATGCGGCGCTCAGCAACCCCATTCTGCTGTGGCGAGTCCGGCAACGTGTACGACTGGGTGATGCCCTCCGCACGACAGAACTGTCCAAGCCGACCAGAGGCGAACTCGCCGCCACGGTCGGAGTGGAGACACAACACGGGGAGACCGCGGTGGAGACGCGCAGCCACAACCCACGGGAGAAGAACGTCGGGCACGTCGGCCTTCCGCTCCAGGGGAAACACCGTGGTGTAGCGCGTGTAGTCGTCGACAAGCACAAGGAAGTAGCGCTCACCGCGCGGTCCGGGGACGGGGGCAGGGCCCCAAACGTCCAAGTGCAGGGTCTGAAGGGGGGCAGTAGCAGGACGCAGCGAGGAGGAGTGAGGAGCACGGCGGAGCCGACCCTCGACGCAAGGCGTGCACGGTGGCGCAGTCGAGGGAGGAAGGGCAGGGAGCGACGCGGGGAGACCTAAGACAAGACCGTGCTGGGACATGTGACGCAGACGCGGGAGAGCAGGGTGACCTAAGCGGTGGTGCCAGAGAAGGGAGGGGTGAGTGAGGGACCGACACGAGCAAGCTGCAGCGACCTGGGAGGACGCACCAACCGGGGGGGAAGCGGTGTGTAGGGTAAACAGACCGGACACCGGGTCCCGGGGGAACGTCGCAAGGGGGGAACCTGAGACAGCCTCAGAACAGACAGCGAACCGCTCGTGCCCGGGGAACGTGGTGGTGACGCCGAGGTCCTGGAGACAGCCGACACCAACCAGGTTCCTGGAGAACGAGGGAACGTGGAGGCCAGTAAGGGAGCCCGAGGGAACTGCCGGACAGGGAAGGGACGTAGAACTGCGCGCGACGACCGGACCCGCAGAGGGGTCAGCGAGAGAGACAACAGCAGGTGCAGCAAGCGGCGTGAGCGTGGAACGGTCGCGGAAGAAGCAGGCAGAAGCACCAGAGTCGAGAGTGAAGGACAGCGACGCAGTGGCGGGGGCCGGGGACGGAGCCGGTGCAGCGACTAGACTAGGCAACCTAGGCAGTCCTACGCCTGTCGCAGCAGGGGAAGCTAAGCTACACAAGGGTGAAACACCTAAACTAGAGTACACAGGGTAGTAAGATCCATCAACACTAGAAGCGTCAGCATACAAA